TGCATTACTCTATTTGTGCATACGTGAACCCCGGCCATCCATTCAGCATTATCGACTCTTTCGTAGATCTCACTGCAGGTGTGCATCTGGATAAACAGGTGTGGTGTTGGTCGGCAGGCTGACATTTTCTTTGCCTAAATCTGTGATCCACCTCTCAGCATTGGCAGTTGTGCTTGGAAAGTTGAGCGCCCTGGTGGAAAACCAATGTAAGCTATTTCAACCGAATGCATTATGGTCCGCCCGATGAATGGTCTTGAATCATTCAGGATCTTTCATCTTGTGCTCTCTACAGGATCTCAGATTCCCGCTGACCTCTGAAATGCACGTTTACATCGAGTGCTTCCGCAGAGGAACTTTGGGCCAAACAGCACAATGTCCACCATATTGGCTTCACTGACACAATAACCATTCCTGTCCCACGCAACCGTAACACTGTCAAAAACACTCAAATTAGGCAGCAACATGGTCGGCTCAAGAGGTCACTCTCCGTTGGCTTCAAAGATCACCCGTTTGTGGTCCATGTCCCTCAGAGCTTGAAAGTTTTCACTAGAACCGAGCGCCTCTCTTTTTTACTCCCATTTGAAAATCGTAAGATTAGGTTGGTTCTCAACGTCAATAATAACGTGTTAGACTGGAACCGGACTCACCTGCACCTGTTGTCCGCATAAGATCCATTCACGTTTCCCAATGACAGCGGTTGGAAATTCCAACGGCGCCCCTCGGTACAGTCTAAATCCGTTCATATTATTATTCTCTCGAACGGGTTGCCTTCAAACTGAATGATTGAGCGATCAATTCCTGAGACCAAATTAGGTAAACGTTCCTCCACGTTAAGGTTACCTAACATTAATTATGAACTCAATTTAGCTAACTCAACAATCAAATTTGCAATCACGAAGGGGCAGGAGAGTGACCGACTGTATGTGTAATTATTCAATATAAGACCGTTCATTTACCTCTATTAGATCACAACCGTGGCATACTGCTTTCGAAAATCCTTTATAAGATACTCTGAATGCACACGGCCAACCGGTACTTTTGATGCATAACCGCTTTCAGCGGTTTACCAGCCTTTTCAAGGCGTCGTCCATTATAGTTCCCAGACGAACTGACTCACTCTGTGTGTGGGACACCGCATAGTACCTGATCCTCAGCCAACGGTACGTCCGATACCGAATGGAATTTTTGTGAGAATGCCCGTATGTCTACATTTTCTTTCGTCGTATTGTTTCCCAGTTATGTTTTAAGTTACACCTAAGACAAACACTTGGTTTCGGAAGTGATTCCAAAGACCATAGAGTTTTGGCTAACGCGGTGAAGGGTCGCAACTAGATTTTCGGTGGAATTTTATTTAGAGTGGTCCGGCTACCCAACTGGTACTTTACCAAACCGTGTGGCATAGAAAAACAAATAGTAACGCTAGTTTCGTTGTGAAATAATAAGGTCAGGTGGAACAATCTCACTAAGGATTGTTCTCTGTAATATAGTTCGTTGTTGGTTCAGGTAAACGTATAAACAACCATCCAATCATGGTCGTCCAGAGATCTCCTCCTGATTAGTTCTCCTTTATAGATTCCGAAGATAGTCTGAAGTGTTGTGTCACTAAGGTTAGCAGATGAAACTCGTGAATGAACGCCGTAAGCGCGAATGAAATCAGAAGAGAGTAGAAGCACGGGATTTCACGGATTCACGGATTGATACACAGGATCGAGGCTTTTGCCCAAGTTTCCCGGGTCGGTTTTGTTCTTGTCGGTCAGTGGCTGTCGTTCACCTGAAAGGCACAAGTGAAAAAAGGGTGTAGCACTGCTCTTTATGTTCTCAGCGCGGGGCAGTATCCTCGCCAGCGCGAAAATTCGCATAAACAAATGTCTAATAGTGCTTTAAATTGGGTTCGAGAAGGAGCGTGCACAACCGTCGGAGGAAGGTCATTCCACGCAGCTACTACCCGAAATGAAAAAAAGTTTTGTCTAACGGATGTGTGTGCCCTGAGCTTGAAGATTTTCTTACTATGTCCCCGCCGGGTGTTTGCTGGGTAAACGGTAAAAAACCTGTTTGCCAAGCTTTGTTCAAACAGGGCGTAGGTAAGAATTAGGTCCCCTCGGAGGCGACGGCACTCCAGGGGAAAGAGATCAAGCGTCACGAGA